AAAAATTTAAAATAAGTTAAAGTGGTTGAACTTTTTTGCAAACTGTTTTTCGACGTTTTGATTTTTTTTGCTTCCCAAACTACGTTAACAAAACACAAAAAATTGTTCACTCGAACAAAACTAAAATTAAGCATGAACAAGCTATTGTAAAGATGTAAGAATAAATAAGCCTGTTTGCGGAAAATTTACTAAAAATCGTAAAATTTCAACCTGTTTTTCTCAAAACTGGAAAAATTTATAAGCAAATTTTAAAGTCGTTTGGATCACGACTGAAAAAATTTTATTATGATATTTCACTCTACGCTTTCCGATAATTATTTGTGGAAAACGAAAAAAAAACTAAAACACACCTGAATACAACCTCCTCGTTATCAATGGTCGGAACCACGATTTTAAAATGTTCATTTTCAAATAGCAACAAGACTGCTCGTATCAGGGCGAAGCCCTGAATGTTCCGACCGCCTATTAAGGTTTATGGAGCAGTAATAACAATAAAAAATTTCAAAAAACAAAACAAAATGAAAAATTTTTTTCTCTAAAATTTGAAACTTCTTATGAAAATCATCCCCCCAATGCCATATAAAGTACAAACGGATAGATTTAGCTACTTTAACAAATCAATTATGGCAAATAAGCTTCGTTAAATCAATTTGGAACGATTTCTAAGTCGGATTAAATCTCGCTTACGCGTTAATAGCGCGCAATATATCGCGCGTTAATTGTCCCAAATTAGCCAAAATGGTCATCTTTAAACCCTCATAACTTTCCGAAAAATAATCACAGGTGAAATATCGTTTCTCATTTAAGCTCAGGACAACAATACCTTTTGAATGATAAAAAAAAATTTGTCAAAAATGGGTAGTTAAAAAGTCGAAATTTGTCTGAAGATTAAAAAAAAACCCACCCCGAGCACAAATATTCCGTTACTTTCGTATCGAAATTCGGAACAACAAGCGGGTGCTTGAATCTATTCGCTTAACAAAGCTGCTCGTATCAGGGCGAAGCCCTGAATGTTCCGACTGCCTATTAAGGTTTATGGAGCAGTAATAACATTAAATAATAAAAAATAATAAAACAAAATGAAAATTTTGTTTTCAAAAATTTGATTTTTTTGTTTAAAAATCATCCCCCCACTCGCCATATTAATACAAAAGGATAGAATTCGCTACTTGTAACAAATGATTTATGGCCAATAAGTTTCGTTAAACCAATTTGGAACGATTTCCAAGACGGATTAACTTTCCGCTTACGCGTTATTAGCGCGAAATATATCACGCGTTAATTTCCCAAATTGGCCAAAATGGCAATCTTTAAACCCCCATAACTTTACGAAAAAAGATCACAGGTGAAATATCTTTTCAAATTTGAGCTCAAGACAACAATACCTTCCGAATGATATAAACAATTCCGTCAAAAATGGCTAGTTAAAAAGTCGAAATTTGTCTGAAAAAAAAAACCCAACCCGAGCACAAATATTCCGTTGCTTTCGTATCGAAATTCGGAACAACAAGCGGGTGCTTGAATCTATTCGTTTAACAAAGCTGCTCGTATCAGGGCGAAGCCTTGAATGTTCCGACTGCCTATTAAGGTTTATGGAGCAGTAATAACATTAAAAAATTAAAAATAATAAAACCAAATGAAAATATTTTTTTTTTTTCAAAAATTTGATTTTTTTTATTTAAAAATCATCCCCCCACTCGCCATATTAATTACAAAAGGATAGATTTTGCTTCTTGTAACAAATGAATTATGGCCAACAAGCTTCGTTAAACCAATTTGGAACGATTTCTAAGGCGGATTAACTTTCCGCTTACGCGTTAATAGCGCGAAATATATCGCGCGTTAATTTCCCAAATCGGCCAAAATGGCAACCTCTAAACCCCCACAATTTTACGAAAAAAGCTCACATGTGAAATATCTTTTCAAATTTGAGCGCAGGACAACAATAAATTTTGAATGGTATAAAAAAATTTCGTCAAAAATGGCTAGTTAAAAAGTCGAAATTTGTCTGAAGAAAAAAAACCCACCCGAGCACAAATATTCCGTTACTTTCCCGCACTGAAGTTTCATGGATAATAATCGATTATATTGGATTTTTATTGTCAGTCTCTACAAAATAACAAAAATAATCGATTATAATCGATTGAAAATGGATTATAATGATAATATTTTTTAAAGCAATAAAATCCCAATATAATCGATTATAATCGATTATAATCGATTATTTTCAAAAAAAAATTTCAAAAGAAAAATAATCTATTTTAATCAATTATAATGGATTATAATCTATTTATTCAAATATTTTTGTGTGTTGTTTTCATTTTTTCATAATTTTGTTAAACTTAAGTTAGTTATTTTGTTTTAATTTCTTTTCGCTTAATTTCTTTTTTTCCTATTTTCAATCGAGTTATTGAAAAATTATAAAAAGTTACCTATAGATCGCACACCAACCCCCCCCCCCCCCCACCTCTTACTAGAGTTGATGTCCCCCCTCGCCTCTTACTAGAGTTGATGTCCCTTACTAGAGTTAGATGTCCCCTAACTAGAGAGAGAGGGGGCACGTCGTGGTTGGGGGTTTCGTGGGGGGATGGGTAAACGTGAGGGGGTTACGTCGTGGGTTGGGGGGGTAGGTTGAGGGGGGGTACGTTGGGGGGGGGGTACGTTGGGGGGGTACGTTGAGGGGGGGTACGTTGAGGGGGGTACGTTGGTGGGGGGGGGGGTTGGATGTTGGATACGTTGAGGGGGTACGTCGTTGGGGGGAGGGAGTACGTTGGCGGGGGAGGGTTAGTTGGGGCGGGGGGGGGGGGGTATGTTGACGTGAGGAGCTGGTCAAAAATGCAGTTTTTGGGCTTTTTTTGGAAAATTACTACATATTGGTCGCCCCTGGATGAACGTGTTCGTTCAAGTTTTGCAGAAAGTTGCAGAAATTAGAGTCATTATTTACAAAATTTATTCAATTTTCATGGATTTTATATACAAAAAATAATCCATTATATTGAAAACAAAAATCCATTATAATGGATTATAATGGATTATAATGGATTTAAATTTTTCCAAAATAATCGATTATAATCGATTAAAAATCCATTATGTGGTCTAAATTTGACATGATAATCGATTATATTGACAACATTTTAGTCAATAAAAATCCATTATAATCGATTATAATGGATTATAGTGGATTTCAATTTTTCCAAAATAATCGATTATAATCGATTAAAAATCCATTATATGGTCTAAATTTGACATGATAATCGATTATATTGACAACATTTTATTCAACGAAAATCCATTATAATCGATTATTATCCATGAAACTTCGGTGCGGGTTCGTATCGAACGTCGGAACAATAACCAATTCAAACAGTGATGATAATTCGCCGCACTTAATTATTTCAATTTTATAGTGTGTCATACTTCATACGAGTAATTTATGTCTAAATCAAATTTACTGGTACCTGCCCACGACCAATGATGTGGACCGTTTATGAGTCAGAAAGTTATGTCATAAATTGAGTTCAAATTAGTTTTTAAACTTAGTTTCATTTATTTAGCGTTATTTCTTTTATGTGTCTCAATGGGCGCGACGTAACGACGCCAAGATCGGTTTTTATAACTAAGCACAGATTTGTGCTTTCACGTGCCTGGATTCCGCTGACGTATCTTTTGCGTGTTTAAGAGGCTTTTCTCGGTGGATTCCACAATCAAATGACCCCTATACAAAATGCCGACAAAATCATTTTGGTCAGTGGATTCTAAAGACGGATTATCAACTGGTCGTTTGTTTGCTTTAGTGTCTGCTAATGTGTTTGTGAGACGTTTCCTGTCTCTTTTTGATGTAACCACATAAAAAACTACCAAATTTTCTCGGATTTATAATAATAATAATAAAACTTTGCTGCGGGCTTCTCTCTTTCTTAAAAAACAGTTGTAGATAATGCCTAATAGTGTAAACAAATTGGAAGACTTTCGATTTTCAAAAAATCAAAAATAAAGTTTTTAAAGCATGTAAACTAGAAACAAGATGATGAATTATTTAAATAAATCATGTTTTTGCTGCTCGTTTTTAAGAGAATGCAAATGGCGCAAGACTTTGCGGATGAGGTCGTTGGGATGAAAGTTCGTACCGGGAAACCATACGCTGACAATATGGATTCCTTTTTCCGGAATTGGTTTTATAACACTCTGCATTTGTCATCAAGTCACTGACAGTCGACAAAAGTGAGGGACGAAAGTCACGAAAAAGTACCACATTACTGCATGGTAAACAATTATCCTACGTAATCTGTAAAAAAATTTTAGAAGTTCAATAGGTATTCCACTGAATTCAGCTACCTGTTTATGGCAAAAATCTCAGTCTTTTCTAAGTTTGTTCCTTAATGCGACTGTATGGTTAGTAATTTTCAACCCTTTGAGAGTTGATTTTACGCTTGACAAATTGAGCAAGGTTTTATAAATATTTCTGTTGCCAAAGCTCACTAAATCTGTTTCAGTAAACAATTCTCCGTGTGGAACTCAAAGTGACAGTAAGGTTTTCTATATATTATTTTCTTAAGTATTATTTCTATGGAAGTACCAAGAAATATTCGGGGAATAACAAATGTGACAAATTTCTTTGGAAAAATTTCGAAACTATTTTTTTCTCTGAAGCTTATCAACTGAAGCTTACCTATCAAGAAAAGCACCTTATCCTAATTCATAGACTCCCATAAATTGCAGTATAGAGTCTTACAAAGTGCTTTTTTGGTAAATTAGGAATCTGGACGCCCAAAATTTTTGAAAATTACATCTGAAACCTTACTACATGGGGAAGCCTATAAGCAACCTTAAAGTTTTGGGCAACCTATTCACTCTTTGATACATATGGCGCGGTTCTCTAAATCTCTAGCCTATTTTATTACATGAGTGTCCGTGCCCCAAGGAATGAGTTGCTCCAACATATACTACTAATGGCTATTATAGTGAGTTAAAATTATAAATAAATTAACTGAATTGAAATAGAATTTTATAATATTTTTTTTACCCTCCAGAAGATGATGGGATAATTACAGACGCAATTATAAGTATTATACAATCTGCAATTTCCGAAATTCACACACACACACACACACACACACACTCATTACACATACATACAAACACCTTGACAAAATGGTCAGTTTTTGAAAAGATTTGCTACCATTTTTGTCTGACCATTTTTTTGCAAGTATCACTCATTTCAGTTTTAATTTTTTATCCGAAAATGTTTATCCGAAAAAAAAAGAAACTATAAATAGAACTTTTTGGTAAACTTGGACAAGGAGAACGGGGACCCCTCCCCACACTCTGTTGTACACACTCTACTGAATTAGTAGTAGCTTAGAAGTTAGAGTTTTTCCCCTTGTCACATCATTATTTGTAGTCTGTTCATCATCGTATTGTCTCATGGAGTGTTGTAGAACTGCAGTGACGTCACAACCCCCTCCATGTCTGAGGTGCACTTGGAGTCTGCTCCAGTGAAGAGAGACATGTAGTAGCCGAGGTCACACACTTTCAGCAGGTAGCTGCTGCAACAGAAACAGTACTCCAAATAAAACCCCACTATTACGAACTTGAAGCCAATTAAACTAAACCCCACTATTACGAACTTGAAGGCAATTAAACTAAACCCCACTATTACGAACTTGAAGCCAATTGAACTAAACCCCGTTATTACGAACTTGAAGCCAATTAAACTAAACCCCACTATTACGAACTTGAAGCCAATTAAACTAAACCCCACTATTACGAACTTGAAGCCAATTAAACTAAACCCCACTATTACGAACTTGAAGCCAATTAAACTAAACCCACTATTATGAACTTGAAGCCAATTAAACTAAACCCCACTATTACGAACTTGAAGGCAATTAAACTAAACCCCACTATTACGAACTTGAAGCCAATTAAACTAAACCCCACTGTTACGAACTTGAAGCCAATTAAACTAAACCCCACTATTACGAACTTGAAGCCAATTAAACTAAACCCCACTATTACGAACTTGAAGCCAATTAAACTAAACCCCACTATTACGAACTTGAAGCCAATTAAACTAAACCCCACTATTACGAACTTGAAGCCAATTAAACTAAACCCCACTATTACGAACTTGAAGCCAATTAAACTAAACCCCATTATTACGAACTTGAAGCCAATTAAACTAAACCCCACTATTACGAACTTGAAGCCAATTAAACTAGACCCCACTATTACGAACTTGAAGCCACTTAAACTAAACCCCACTATTACGAACTTGAAGCCAATTAAACTAAACCCCACTATTACGAACTTGAAGCCAATTAAACTAAAACCCACTATTACGAACTTGAAGCCAATTAAACTAAACCCCACTATTACGAACTTGAAGCCAATTAAACTAAACCCCACTATTACGAACTTGAAGCCAATTAAACTAAACCCCACTATTACGAACTTGAAGCCAATTAAACTAAACCCCACTATTACGAACTTGAAGCCAATTAAACTAAACCCCACTATTACGAACTTGAAGCCAATTAAACTAAACCCCACTATTACGAACTTGAAGCCAATTAAACTAAACCCCACTATTACGAACTTGAAGCCAATTAAACTAAACCCCACTATTACGAACTTGAAGCCAATTAAATTAAACCCCACTATTACGAACTTGAAGCCAATTAAATTAAACCCCACTATTACGAACTTGAAGCCAATTAAACTAAACCCCACTATTACGAATTTGAAGCCAATTAAACTAAACCCCACTATTACGAACTTGAAGCCAATTAAACTAAACCCCACTATTACGAACTTGAAGCCAATTAAACTAAACCCCACTATTACGAACTTGAAGCCAATTAAACTAAACCCCACTATTACGAACTTGAAGCCATTTAAACTAAACCCCACTATTACGAACTTGAAGCCAATTAAACTAAACCCCACTATTACGAACTTGAAGCCAATTAAACTAAACCCCACTATTACGAACTTGAAGCCAATTAAACTAAACCCCACTATTACGAACTTGAAGCCAATTAAACTAAACCCCACTATTACGAACTTGAAGCCAATTAAACTAAACCCCACTATTACGAACTTGAAGCCAATTAAATTAAACCCCACTATTACGAACTTGAAGCCAATTAAATTAAACCCCACTATTACGAACTTGAAGCCAATTAAACTAAACCCCACTATTACGAACTTGAAGCCAATTAAACTAAACCCCACTATTACGAACTTGAAGCCAATTAAACTAAACCCCACTATTATGAACTTGAAGCCAATTAAACTAAACCCCACTATTACGAACTTGAAGCCAATTAAACTAAACCCCACTATTACGAACTTGAAGCCAATTAAACTAAACCCCACTATTACGAACTTGACGCCAATTAAACTAAACCCCACTATTACGAACTTGAAGCCACTTAAACTAAACCCCACTATTACGAACTTGAAGACAATTAAACTAAACCCCACAATTACGAACTTGAAGCCAATTAAACTAAACCATACTATTACGAACTTGAAGCCAATTAAACTAAACCCCACTATTACGAACTTGAAGCCAATTAAACTAAACCCCACTATTACGAACTTGAAGACAATTAAACTAAACCCCACTATTACGAACTTGAAGCCAATTAAACTAAACCCCACTATTACGAACTTGAAGCCAATTAAACTAAACCCCACTATTACGAACTTGAAGCCACTTAAACTAAACCCCACTATTACGAACTTGAAGACAATTAAACTAAACCCCACAATTACGAACTTGAAGCCAATTAAACTAAACCCCACTATTACGAACTTGAAGCCAATTAAACTAAACCCCACTATTACGAACTTGAAGCCATTTAAACTAAACCCCACTATTACGAACTTGAAGCCAATTAAACTAAACCCCACTATTACGAACTTGAAGCCAATTAAACTAAACCCCACTATTACGAACTTGAAGCCAATTAAACTAAACCCCACTATTACGAACTTGAAGCCAATTAAACTAAACCCCACTATTACGAACTTGAAGCCAATTAAACTAAACCCCACTATTACGAACTTGAAGCCAATTAAATTAAACCCCACTATTACGAACTTGAAGCCAATTAAATTAAACCCCACTATTACGAACTTGAAGCCAATTAAACTAAACCCCACTATTACGAACTTGAAGCCAATTAAACTAAACCCCACTATTACGAACTTGAAGCCAATTAAACTAAACCCCACTATTATGAACTTGAAGCCAATTAAACTAAACCCCACTATTACGAACTTGAAGCCAATTAAACTAAACCCCACTATTACGAACTTGAAGCCAATTAAACTAAACCCCACTATTACGAACTTGAAGCCAATTAAACTAAACCCCACTATTACGAACTTGAAGCCACTTAAACTAAACCCCACTATTACGAACTTGAAGACAATAAAACTAAACCCCACAATTACGAACTTGAAGCCAATTAAACTAAACCCCACTATTACGAACTTGAAGCCAATTAAACTAAACCCCACTATTACGAACTTGAAGCCAATTAAACTAAACCCCACTATTACGAACTTGAAGCCAATTAAACTAAACCCCACTATTACGAACTTGAAGCCAATTAAACTAAACCCCACTATTACGAACTTGAAGCCAATTAAACTAAACCCCACTATTACGAACTTGAAGCCACTTAAACTAAACCCCACTATTACGAACTTGAAGACAATTAAACTAAACCCCACAATTACGAACTTGAAGCCAATTAAACTAAACCCCACTATTACGAACTTGAAGCCAATTAAACTAAACCCCACTATTACGAACTTGAAGCCAATTAAACTAAACCCCACTATTACGAACTTGAAGCCAATTAAACCCCACTATTACGAACTTGAAGCCAATTAAACTAAACCCCACTATTACGAATTTGAAGCCAATTAAACTAAACCCCACTATTACGAACTTGAAGCCAATTAAACTAAACCCCACTATTACGAACTTGAAGCCAATTAAACTAAACCCCACTATTACGAACTTGAAGCCAATTAAACTAAACCCCACTATTACGAACTTGAAGCCAATTAAACTAAACCCCACTATTACGAACTTGAAGCCAATTAAACTAAACCCCACTATTACGAACTTGAAGCCACTTAAACTAAACCCCACTATTACGAACTTGAAGACAATTAAACTAAACCCCACAATTACGAACTTGAAGCCAATTAAACTAAACCCCACTATTACGAACTTGAAGCCAATTAAACTAAACCCCACTATTACGAACTTGAAGCCAATTAAACTAAACCCCACTATTACGAACTTGAAGCCAATTAAACCCCACTATTACGAACTTGAAGCCAATTAAACTAAACCCCACTATTACGAATTTGAAGCCAATTAAACTAAACCCCACTATTACGAACTTGAAGCCAATTAAACTAAACCCCACTATTACGAACTTGAAGCCAATTAAACTAAACCCCACTATTACGAACTTGAAGCCAATTAAACTAAACCCCACTATTACGAACTTGAAGCCATTTAAACTAAACCCCACTATTACGAACTTGAAGCCAATTAAACTAAACCCCACTATTACGAACTTGAAGCCAATTAAACTAAACCCCACTATTACGAACTTGAAGCCAATTAAACTAAACCCCACTATTACGAACTTGAAGCCAATTAAACTAAACCCCACTATTACGAACTTGAAGCCAATTAAACTAAACCCCACTATTACGAACTTGAAGCCAATTAAATTAAACCCCACTATTACGAACTTGAAGCCAATTAAATTAAACCCCACTATTACGAACTTGAAGCCAATTAAACTAAACCCCACTATTACGAACTTGAAGCCAATTAAACTAAACCCCACTATTACGAACTTGAAGCCAATTAAACTAAACCCCACTATTACGAACTTGAAGCCAATTAAACTAAACCCCACTATTACGAACTTGAAGCCAATTAAACTAAACCCCACTATTACGAACTTGAAGCCAATTAAACCCCACTATTACGAACTTGAAGCCAATTAAACTAAACCCCACTATTACGAATTTGAAGCCAATTAAACTAAACCCCACTATTACGAACTTGAAGCCAATTAAACTAAACCCCACTATTACGAACTTGAAGCCAATTAAACTAAACCCCACTATTACGAACTTGAAGCCAATTAAACTAAACCCCACTATTACGAACTTGAAGCCATTTAAACTAAACCCCACTATTACGAACTTGAAGCCAATTAAACTAAACCCCACTATTACGAACTTGAAGCCAATTAAACTAAACGCCACTATTACGAACTTGAAGCCAATTAAACTAAACCCCACTATTACGAAGTTGAAGCCAATTAAACTAAACCCCACTATTACGAACTTGAAGCCAATTAAACTAAACCCCACTATTACGAACTTGAAGCCAATTAAATTAAACCCCACTATTACGAACTTGAAGCCAATTAAATTAAACCCCACTATTACGAACTTGAAGCCAATTAAACTAAACCCCACTATTACGAACTTG